ATTGTTAGCTTCATATTCATTGATCCCAAAAGTTCAAACAATTTGTTATACGTGCTAATGTTCATACTTCAGAATCCTGATGCTGATATATTCAGAGTTCACAAGGTTAGGAAACCTCCAATGATTTGCTCAGTCATGAAGCATCAGTACTACGTTCATTTTGAGGATGTTAAAAGTCAATGTGTGCCCTGGAATGTCAATTTGCCCTTGAATTATCAGTAAAATATCATTATCCAACGATGGGGCAGTTTCAAAAAAAAAATTCCAGAACTGATCTTCAAGAGACAAAATCATGACTTTGGCCTGATCACAGAATCACTACAGTGTGGAAGCAGGCCATCTGGCCCATCAAGTCCACACTGACCCACTGAAGAGTATCCCACCCAGACCCACCTCCCTACCCTATCCCTGTATTTCCCATTGCTAATCCACCTAGCCTGCACACTATAGGCAATTTAGCATGGCCAATCTGCCTAATATGCACATCTTTGGACTGTGGGAGGAAATCCACACAGACATAGGGAGAATGTGCAAACTCTGCACAGACAGTCACCCAAGGCTGGAATCAAACTTGGGTCCCCGGCACTGTGAGGCAGCCAACCACTGAGCCATGATGCCACCCTAAATCTGCCAGTAAGAAGTCCCTGGTCCTGAGTTTATTGCTTCATGTAAATGGTCTTAGATGCTTTACTTCCATCAGGTCACCGACGTGGAGGTCCAGAGGAAACTATAGGTACATCAGGCTCTCAGCTAATTGCTGCCTGTCCTGTTGGAATCACACCAAGGTTACAATGCGAACATTCTGGCCAATGCTTAGGCCAAGCAGCATCAAAGGAGTGGGAAAGAAAGAAGGGTCCCGACCTGAAATGTCAACTTTCCTACTTCTTTGATGCTGCCTGAACTGCAGTGTTCCTCCATCTCCACGCTGTGTTATTCTGACTCCAGCATCGGCAGTTCTTATTATTTCTGGCCAATACTTATATTTTTGTGATTTGTGTTGTTTTTGTGACTTTATTTAAAGAAATAGCTCTCAGGTCAAATCTAGATGAAGAAAGCTCTGAATCGTCAATTTCATCTTCCCTGCAGACGAATGTCCACCTGATTTGGTCATGTGGTCATGAATATAACCCAGACCAAATTATGCAGCTATTAGTATCGCAACACTACTGCTTCACTTGTACAGAATCATCCGACTATGAATAGGTGTTTCTTCAACCCTTTGAAAATTATACTGAAAATTGTATGGGTAAACTCAGGTATAATGTACCTCTTGTCTCTTTTTGCCCTTTAATCTCCTTCAGTTACGACATTACAATTAGCAAGTATGTCTGTAAAATCTACACAAAGGCATCAACAAGATAATTAATACCATGGTTGGAAAGATGATGTGTCGAGGTAATTCTTGTTATTTTCTGGAACACACATCTATAAATGTACATTTTCCAACAGGGAACAGTAATTGGATAGACAGTTGTTAGAAGTGGGAGCTGTGGCTAAGTTTTCACCTTCCTAGTGGAGGAGCAGTGAAGCAATACATCCTGTCACAGTATGGCAGCAAGATTACTTTTTTTCATAGCTTTGTATCATGGATCACGATGCAATTATTCATTGGCTAATTGCAAGAATCAATTCTATACTTGTACTCTGCCTCTTTTCGTAGTCCAATTATGGTGAAATCCGCATTTTTCTTTTGTAAACGCTTGATCTGTTTGAACCACACATGGATGCATTAAATTCTCTCAGCTTTTTTTAAGCCAGTGAACTTTTCAACTCTGTGAAATTTCATCAGCTGAGCTGAACTTGGTGGAGCCCATTTTTGCATTTATATTGTGCCTCAAATGTAAAGTTCCAATGGTTCTTCAAAGGAGTATGGTCAAAGTTTTACACAAAACTGGATACATATTAGAAAGGTATTAGAAGACATGAGCAAAGTCAAAGAGGTAGGTCAATTTTAAAGCGTATCTTAAAGAAAGTAGATATTGAAATGCAGAGAGACTTAAGGAAAGGAATCAGAGCTTTAATGTTTTCACAGCTGTAGATACAGCCATTAATGTAGCAATTAAAATCTATGATGCTCTAGAGGCCAGAATTTGGAGAGCATAGATGTCCTGAAAGATGGCCCAATTAGAATAGAGATAGGAACAAAGTGAGAGTTTAGTGTATGTGGACGAAGCAGCCTTAGGGTCCAGGGATGCAGATTAGCTGAAGAGTACAAGTTCTCTTCTTCCCATTGCCTCCCCTTACATTTGCTCAAAGTCAGCTACATTTCTAACTTCTTCCTGTTTTAACAAAAAGGCCTGATTTGAAACTCTACCTTGGATCCTATCGTCTCAGATGCTGCCAGACCTACTCAGCATTTCTTCCATTTTCTGTTTTTAAATAGCGAGAATGTGGGTGGACAGCCAGAAATGCATTTGGAAACTGCGTTTGTTGTTGGCACTAAAGACAATTGCTGTAAATTTATGATGTGCATCAGTCATCAGGTATACTAAGAGACAATAAGAGACTAAGCTAGAGTCCTAGGCTAACCACACAAACATATGTCGACTGTGGCATGGCTCACACAATATAAAGGGCTACAAAGCGAAGTCGAGTAGAATCGCTGACAACGATACATCCCTCCCCAATGTGATCAAAGCATTCTCTGTTTGCTTTGAACGGAAAATCAGTGAAATGATGTCACCTGCTCTGACAGCCTTGGGTGTACCTGTCACCACCACAGACATCACAGATCAGTCTTCTTGAGGGTGAACCCACGGAAAGTGACTGGCCCAGGTAGAGTCCCTGGCCATGCACTCAGATCCTGCACAGACCAGCTAGCAGGAGTATTCGTAGATATCTTTAACCGCGGCTTGCTATGATGTGAGGTTCACACCCGCTTCAAGAAGACCACTATCATCCCGGTGCCAAAGAAAAATCAGGCAACGTCCCTTAATGACTACCGCCCAGTGGCTCTGACAGCCATTATAATGAAGTGCTTCGAGAGGTTAGTATTGGCACATGTCAACTCCAGCCACCCAGATTGTTTTGATACACTACAATTCGTCTTCCGTTGTAATAGGTCCACGTCACAGGCATTCTCCCTGGCCCTACACTTATCCCTGGAACTTCTAGATAACAAGGCCACCTACATCAGACTCCTACTTATTGAATTTAGCTCCACCTTCAACACCATAATTCCAACAAAATTCATCCCCAAACTCCGAGACCTAGGATCCAACTCCCCCTGTTGCAACTGTATCCTCAACTTCCTGACCTGCAGACTGCAAACAGTGAGGATTAGCGACAACACCTCCTGCACAATAATCCTCAACACCTGTGCCCCGCAAGTCTGCGCACTCAGACACTTACTATATTCCTTATACACTCGTGACTGTGTGGCCAAATTCAGCTCTAACTCCATTTACAAGTTTGCTGATGACACCACTGTAGTGGGTTGGATCTCAAACAATGACGAGATAGAGTACAGAATGAGATTGACGGCTTAGTGGCATTGCATAAAGACAACAATCTTTCCCTCAATGTCAGAAAAATGAAAGAGTTGCTCATCAACTTCAGGAAGCCAAGTGGAGAACATGCCCTTGTCTGTATCAATGGTGTTGAGGTGGAGGTGGTCAAGAGCTTTAAGTTCCTAACAGTAAATATCACCAACAATCTAACCTGGTTGATCCATATAGACGCTATTTCCTCAGAAGGCTAAGGAAATCCGGCATGTCCGCAATTACTCATCAATTTTTATAGATGCACCATAGAAAGCATTCTATCCAGATGCATCACAGCTTGGTATGGCAACTGCTCTGTCCATGACCACAAGAAATTACAGAGAGTTGTGAATGCAGCCCAGTCCATATGAAAACCAGCCTTCCTTCCATTAACTCCGTCCATACTTCCCACTGTCTTGGGAAAGCAGCCAACATAATCAAGGACCTCTCCTATTTTGGTTATACTCTCTTCCACCGTCTTCAGTCAGGCAGAAGATACACGCTTCTTCCCCGCTGTTGTCAGACTTACGAATGGTCCTCTCAATAAGAGTTGATCTTTCCCTGCACTTACTCTTTACCTGAAACACTCTATTCTGCATTTCATTGCATTACCCTGATACATGTATACATTACATATATAAGGTATGCTTCGCTTGGATAGCATGCAAAACATTACTTTTCACTGTATCTTGGTACATGTGACAATAATGAATCAAATCAAATCAAAGTACTTGCCACTGAATTTGAATTAAACAACATCAGGCTTAATTTTTACTATTTAATAAACTTGGATACTGGGGCTACTTTGTCAACATAAAATTGGTGAAGTTGTCAGGCTAAGGACAGATTTTCAAGTTTAGAAACGATGATTATTATCACACATGGGGAAAGTATAGTAGTCACAGTGTGTCTCCAGGAAGATTAGAGCAGAAGGAGACCATTTTCTGGGCACAGAAGAAACTCAGGGAAGGTCCAAAGGTCCTGGGGAATAAATGCTCTTCAGTGATATTTTGAAAAGTGAAGAATTGGGCACAAGTCATATGTCACCCTGGATGTGCTGAACATTTCAGATGTCAGAGAAAGTTTCATGTCAGCTCATATTTACAGTGCACAGGATATAATTCCTGAGCTATCCCAACAGATATTCCAAACATGCCACTTGACATGTGGGAGGGAAATGGAAAATCAATCATCACTCTTCCTCCATCTGAAAATAAGCAGAATGTGCAACAAGGGACGTAATCCTCGTAAAGATTCCTCATGGGTTGAATCACCTTAGTTCCTCTCAGGACATCATCAAAATGTAGTAAAATTATAATTGGAAACTACTATTCCATTTTATTTGAGCTTTATTTAATAACCATTAGGTGAAGGTGCAGCTGATGGAAAAGGGCATAAGGAAATTGTGTTTTATGAAAACAAAGAGCTGTAGCAATCAAAATTCAGGGAGAAATGCATTAATAAAACAAGCATGGTATAAAATCCCGTATTAATTCCAGAGCACAAAATAATGCTTACACGTTGAATCCCTCTATCCTTTTCCTCACTGTAACTGGTACCAAGAATTTCAAACAGAACATTGGTATTTGTCCCATCATCCCTAAAATTGAGTATTCCAGTTAATCCACTCACTTTCCCCTATAAATGAAAGCAAAAATACACTTAAGATTTGACATTAAAGCCCATAAAACAACAAATCTAAATATAAGGGAAAAGTAGCAACAAAATAACATGTTATTTCTTAGATTTTTATTTAGAATTCATTTCATTGTGGAACCAACAGACATCTCCTTACATTACTTGTAATAAATCAAATGAGCCATCAATTTTTAAGAGATCGTTTTGCTAAACTGGGCAGAATTTCAGACCCACTGATTTACATTGCCTGGAAAACGCAAACACTGTTCTATTACTTTTTTCACAAATTTTATTGATTTTTAAGAAAATAATCTATATATAGTTCTGTCATCTATTTATTTAAATTTTCTCCAATTTCTTTTTGTTTGAAATTGAATGTATACAGCAGGAAACATTGGTGTGTAGTAATCTCATATTTAGCAATTCTGGTTGGAGAATGCAAGAGGAATACGGTAGTACTCAGACAATCTGGACTTCAGACTACTGGGGCAGGGGTTGCCAACATTGTGAAAATGAAATTGAGGGTTTGTTAAGACTGTGAATTTGGAAACTCATATGTTTCTTAATGTCAGATGGAGGCAACAAAATTGCTCACTCAATGATTTACATTGTGTTTCTTTAATTGAAGTTGAATTTATGGGTAGAGGTAAGTTAGTGTGGTGGTGGGGTTGGGGATGGGGTTGGTGATGGCAGCTGGTGGAATTTAAGTTTAATGAATTCATAATTAAACAAGTATTGAATTGAAAGCTAATCTCAGAAGTCCTTATCTTGTCTGGCCTACAAAATGTAGTTGCCACTTAATTGCCCTCTGAAACCATCCAGCAAGCCACTCAGTTCAAAGCCATTTAGGAATGGACAATTAATGCTGGCCTTGCCAACACTGCCTTCATCCCAAAAAAAGAATAAAGAAAAATTGATATTAAGCCCATGAAATTCAGACTCAACACTGAGAATATAGATTACACAAAGTGAATAATGGAGCTGACGTTTTGGGCCTAGACCCTTCTAGGTCCGAAACGTCAGCCTTCCTGCTCCTCTGATGCTGCTTGGCTTGCTGTGTTCATCCAGCTCTACACCTTGTTATCTCAGATTCTCCCGCATCTGCAGTTCCTACTATCTCTGAATAATGGAGCTGTCTGGATTAAAGTCTGATTGGTATGAATCTGTGGATACAATTATGTCAGGTCATTGTATGACTGACATGTGAAATAAATTAGATTGTAATCTCCCAATGACAGCGTGGAATACTCTGCAGCATTGATTGGACTTAGATTACCTTAAATTTGTCTTCATATAATGCCTGAGCTGTTTCTTTCAAATTTTCTGAACTGATCTGTCAATTTAAAGGTTTTTAATTATAATCTGGATGCAATATTAAGTCATCATTAACGGACAACTATATTAGGTGAAAACAAGGTACATGTAGATCAAACAGATAGGATGCTAGAGAACTAATCAGTGTTGTTCCACAAATTACCATATATATTAAATGAAACTCGCCATGTTGTCATGATGGAATTTGAACTTCAGACTTCGGGGTTGAAAATCAAGTCCATAACTGTTACATTACCATTTTCTCAATCAGAGAATTTTATTTCTCAGTTAACATAATGTACTTTTTAAGATAAAAGGCAATATAAAAATCAGAGGAGCAGTACCATGCCAGTGAATACACATAAGCACGAAAGAACATTTGATGATTCACTCTCAATTAGTAGGATGAACCTGTTTTTTGCTTGTGCACAATTTAGGAAATCTTTGTTTATTTTTGGATGATTTTGGCTACAAATCAGTTTCTACATTCAACTGGCTTCTGACCTCTATGTGTCTTTCAAAATGTCAACAAGTATAGAATTGAACTTCACAAAATGGCTCAGGAGAATGCCTCAGGAGGGTCCGACAGGACTGCAAAATGGCTAACGTAATACCCCTGTTTAAGAAGGGAGGGAGGCAGAAGACAGAAAATTATAACCTAATCTCAGCCGTTGGTAAGATTTTAAGAGTCTGTTATTAAGGATGAGATTACAAAGTACTTGGAAGGGCATGGAAAATAGGGCTGAGTCAGCATGGCTTCACCAAAAGAAGGTTTTGCCTTAGATTTATATTAGAATTTTTCGAGGAGGTAACAAGCAAGCTAGACAAAGGAGAGTCAATTGACACGATCACTTGGGATTTCCAGAAGGCTTCTCACAAGGTGCCCCCCAGGAAGCTGCTCAATAAGACAAGAGTCCAAGGTATTAGTGGCATGGTATAGGCATGGAAAGAGGATTGGCTGATTTGCAGGACTGGGGAAAAAGGGGACTTTTTCGGGTTAGCAGCTGGTGACTAGTGGAGTTGTGCTTGGATCAGTGATGAGACCATAACTATTCATGTTACACATTAACAATCTGGATGAAAGAACTGAGGGCATTGTTGCTAAGTTTGCAAATGACACAAAAATAGGTAGAGGGGCAAGTAGTGTTGAAGAGGCAGAAAGACTGCAGAAGGACTTGGACAAGCTAGGAGAGTGGGCAAAGAAGTGGCAGATGGAATACAATATGCGGAAAAGTATGAGGTTATGCACTTTGATAAGAAGAATATAGTGTAAACTATTTCATAAATGGGGAAAGGTTTCAAAAATCTGAAGCACAAAGGGACTTAGAAGTCCTAATTCAGGATTCTCTTTGGATTAACATGCAGGTTCAGCTGGCTAGTAGGAAGGTGAATGCATTGTTTGTATTCACTTTGAGAGGGCTAGAATACAAGAGCAGGGATGTATTGCTGAGGGTGTATAAGACTCTGGTCAGACTGTTTTTGGAATATTCTGAGCAGTTTTGGGCCCTGGTTCTCAGGAAGGATGTGCTGGCTTTGGAGGGGTCCACAGGAGGTTCACAAGAATGATCCTAAGGTTAAAGGGCTTGTCATTACGAGGAGTGGCTGAGGACTGTAGGTCTGCATTCAATGGAGTTTAGAAGGATGAGCAGGGGATCTCATTGAAGCTTACAGAATACTGTAAGGCTAAGGTACAGTGGATGTGGTGAAGACATTTCAACTAGTAGGAGAGATTAGAACCTGAGGGAACAGCCTTAGAGCGAAGGGGTGATTCTTTAGAACTGAGATGAGGAGAATTTCTTCAGCCAGAGAGTGGTAAATCTGTGAAACTCATTGCCATAGAGGGGTTCGGAGGCAAGTCATTGAATGTATTTAAGACAGCGATAGATAGGTTCTTGATTAGTAAGGGGATCAAAGACAGAAGGCAGGAGAATGGGTTGAGAAGCACATCAGCCATGATTGAATAGCGGAGCAGACTCAATGGGCCAAATGACCTAATTCTGCTCTTATATCTTATGGTCTTATCCAGGGAGAAGCAACTTCTTCGACATTGAATAATATCAGATCTTTTGTAGTATTTTGTTAACCTTGAAATAAAATGTATGAATAGAATTGTTTGCAAGTATTTTGTCCTTTGTTATGTTATTAGAAAAAAACTGGCATAACATTCATTAAAAATCTCATTAATATTGCAGCTGCGTTGATCTAAAATGAATAAAAGGGCTGGTTTCACATTACATTTTATCACCTCTGTTAACTGTATTTACAGTTAATGACTAAATGACCTTGCAATTTTTTTCTGTGACTGTGGTTAGAATTTTGGGTATTGGATTATAATTCTGACATCTTAGACCATAGGAACAGAAGTCAGACCTTCAGCCTATTCAGCATGCCCTGCCATTTAATTCAATCATGGCTGATCAAACACCTCACTGCCATAACCCTGTATGTTACCAGAAATCAGAAATCTACTGATTTCTCCTTTAAATATGCTCAAAGACTGAGCTTTCACTGTCCCCTGTGGTAGAGTCAGGGTCAAATGAGGTTCTTGATTCTGCATAGTGTGGGAACCCAGACACCTGGCATTGATTTTCCCTTAATTTGCCAATCATTAGATAGAAGGCAGTCTTACAGTCAAAAGGACACCTTCCCAATTGACAGAAGGATAGGCTGGAGTGAGGGAGAAAGAGAGATCACACCACTTGCCCCCATAGTTACCCTGGATGGAACTGAAAACCTTTCCCTATTCTATTTATATTTAAAACATTTATCATTCGTAGTGTGGTGATGTCTGAATCTCTAGAAAAGCAGTATCAGCTTTAACATGAATATGATGCCGAGACTCGGGTATAAACCATGCTAAACTGAATAGCTCAACTGGGAATAGGCACATTCATAGACCAATAAAGCAATTGGCAGCTTTCTTTTTTATGATTCTTTCTTGGGATGTGAACATAACTGGCAAGGCCAGAATTTACTGTCATCTTTAATTGCCCCTGAAAAGCCGAGTGTTGGTTTGTTGTTAGATTACCAGAGAAGTGAGCAATCTCCATTGGAGTACCAGAAATAGAGTTTATTCTGTCTTATTAAAAATGTATTGGTTGGATACGTTACTATTACCTCCTGACATATTGCACCCTTGCCAGGATGTCTTGATGAATTTTAATGGCTGTTTCCTTGTACTTTTTGAAGGATAATTTATTAGTTGTTTGGAAGCCTGCATTCTTAGATAGGCCAGAAAAATATTATTGAGGTTTCTTTGTCCAGAAAATTTTATTTGATTGTTCATTTCTACTGTACTTTGAAAGGAGAAGCTCTGATACCTGCTTTACCAAGGCACTACTCATCAAATAATTTTTTAACACTTGTGATTCAATGTCGAATACTATCTCAGGTGTGGTGATGCTCAGGTTAAGTCATCACTGGTTCTCTCTCTCTAATGAGAGAGCAGTAATAGGGTCCAGCAGGACTATGATCACTTCACATTACTTCATTGTCAGATATGAAAATGAGTAAAGAATCAAACCTGGGTAGGAAGAGGAAAGGGAGAGAAAATAATCTGAAATTACGGCCCTAGTTTTAAAGGGAATAGTTGAGTATGGTGAACATGAGCAGCAAAATATGTGTCAAACTGCGATGGTCTGAACTGATTATTGGCTGGACCTTGTTACTGTGTATTAAATGGGAGAGAGAGGTAATTCAGGGGTGGGAAGCTGCAACCAGTGACCCAGGCATTCTGAGGTGACCTCTGCATGCAACTGGGCAGAGAGTTAAGGTCCAGATGAAGGACAGACCCAACGTATATCTGATGTTTAAGCAACTTCAAAATTTCTTTATTGTAAATGAAAACTAAAACACAACAAAGAAAAGGCACATTGAGATTCTCCAAAACTCCTTCTACAACTTCAGCAGGAGACCAACAAAGTACTTGAAGAAGCAACATAAACTGTCATTTTCGATGTTGTTCCCAGATACAATGCCAATCTTATGCAAAGGTTAGGACAAAATATTTGGAGAATCCCAATAGAATTTCAGCTTAAGTTATTCAAAACTTGGGCAAACTGTTCCCTCAACATATTTAGAAACAGAGGGATTAACTGAGGGTATAATTGAGGCTTAATTGCAGTTATCTTAGCTCTTACAATGAGGGCTGTGAGAGCAAATTTCGGCAACCAATGCTGTTTGTTAAATGACACCTGAAAATGGTCAACCAGCTATTAGATTGGATAATTCTTCAGGTGCCTGACTAAATGTTTTGGGCAGCTAAGTATACATGTCTGAGGTGTGATTCTTAACTCCTACCATTGCAAGGTTTTATACTTATGCAGGTGCAGTATGACTGAATTCCACAGTAAAACATCAGTACCTTTTTGATTGCATCAAAAGTTGACTTCCCACCTTGCCATGGCTTGGAATTTTTTCTTACACATGTCAGGCTAGCCATGCTGTGCCATTTTCGATCTTCAAGCTTTTTGTGGAAAGCATCTGCCAGCAGCAAAACACTGTCATATACGTAGAAATTGGAGATCTGCATAGATTAGATCCAAGAGCAGGTTTCAGCCAAACAAGTTAATACTAAATTGATTTATTCCCTGACAAAAGGAACTGTAGATTAATTCAATGCCTCAGCCAAAGACAAGCGTATCATTCCTGTAATGAGTTCTTCCACTTACATCTATTGAATTTGAGAATAAGGATTTACCAGTCCCCTAATAGCACTTTAATAGCAAGTTAAAGGTTTCTGAGGAGTCCACACTATTTGCATTAATTATACCCTATAATTTCATCGGAGGGCTTGATAGAATACCCTAATTGAAATGCTTAAAATACATCAAATGAATTTTGCAATTTTTCAACTTATTAATTACTATTTTAAGCAATTTCATGGTAAAAGTGTAATCAGACCTGATTTTTGACCAAGATAGTATTCGTATTACAACCAATTTATGAAAATGTCAATAAATGTAAATTACATAATTATTAAAGAGGCACAGTGATCTTATTTCACAACTTTACAATACTAAGATACCAAATGTACAGCTATCTAAAATAAAAGTGAATTATTCAAGCAATAATAATTTAAATGCCAGAAGTTGAAACAAATGAAATTTCCTGGTCCTGCACCAAATATGTCAAAACAGGACTTCTGTTTACCACATGACATTGCTCTAATCTCAACCCAATCTACTGGCTATACGTGGTAGACTTCCAGTAGTATTTTCACTACTGTGTAGAAGAGGACTGATGATTCTGTTGAAAATTTTGACATTCTTATAATGGGACTGTGTTTTAATCTTTTGCAGTTCATGCACTAGGACACCCTGGTCCCTCTAATAAGAGCTCTATATTCTCTCATCATTTAGATTTTATGCTTCGTTTTTTATTCTCCCAGTCAAGATGGAAAATTCGATATTTTCCTTCATTATACTACATTTGATAGATCTTTGAGCGTGCACTTAACTTAAAATTATGAGGTTTATATGATTGTTATCTTTTGGACTATAGCTCTCAATTTAGGGTAAATTTAGGAGATCAAGTGACTATTCTGAGAGACTAGAAATTACAAAAGTTGCAATGTCTGTGAATCTCCTAAAGCACCAGAATGATGCTGTAAATATTGGACTGTGTTATAAACTGTCTGAATTGGGTCAGTTAGTACTGATGGCTGGATGGCTGGTTTGCAATACAGAGTGACATCAAGTGCATGAGTGCAAATCCTGCACTGGTTGGGGCTACCATGAAGGTGTCTCCTTCTCAACTTCCTCACTCACCTGAGGAGTGGTGACCTTCAGGTTAAACCACCACCAGTTGTTTCTCTCTGAAGTGAAAGCAGCCCTGTGATCTATTAGGACTATGGTAACTTTACCTTACCTTTATAAGCTGTCTGGTTACTTTAAATATTAAATGGAGTTGTGTTTCAAGGATAGCTGCTTAGAAGTTATACCTGAATGTAACATTAATGTTATTCACCTAACTATAGTAAAGAGGACAGAGGAAACTATTTTTTTTTGATCAGGTCATAGACTTCCCTACAGAACAATGAATATCACAGAGAGACAGCTGTTATGATTCCAGTTGATCATATTACTGGACAAGTCAAATCCAAAACTGAAATCTGGCTGGACAGACCATCATTTATTTTTGTTGTGGTTTTAACAAGGTGGTCTCTCACTGAGAGAGAAGTGTACAATGATGTAGATTTTGTTTAACAATAAAAAGAAGCTTATTAGGCAAAATAAATTAAGATATAGAATAAATCAACTTTATTTCATAACATAAATTTGAAGAGTTTTGAACACACAGTAAATATATAAACTCATTAATCCCACAATACGCCTTTAAAAGTTGTTTAAAAAAACTCCTTCATACAGTACCCAATAACTACCTTATTGCAGTACTCCTACCAGAATCCCTTTCTGTAACACCTTGAAATATTTAAGTAACTGTCACTTTAACTCTGAGGCTGTAACATTATTATTCCTGGAGCTATGTCAGAGGAAGGTCATGCCTAATAAATTTGTGAGAAATTTTTGGAAATGTGATCAAGTGTGTGGATGAGGGAAGTTTAGTTGATGTAGTTGATATGGGTTTTAGCAAAACTTTTGACAATATCCCACATGGGAGACTGATTGAGAAGGTGAAAGCACATGGAATTGAAGGAATCTAGGCAAGATGGATCAATAACTAGCCTGGTACTAGGACACATGGGGTAGAAGCCTGTTTGAGTGACTGCAGGCCGGTGTCCAGTGGTATACCATAAAGATCAGTACAGAAACCCTTATTATTTGTTATATACATAAATGATATTGATGAAAATGTGGAGGGAATGTTAAGCAAATTTGCAGACAACAGCAAGATCGGTAAAGTGGTTAACAGCAAAGAAGATGGTTGTAGGTTACAGGAAGATAGAGATGGGTTGGTCAGATGGGCAGACCAGTGGCAGATGGTATTTAGCCCTGATAAATGTGAGATGATGCACTTTGGAAGAAGAAGCAAGATAAGGGAGTAATTAATGAATGGCAGGACACTAAGTAGCTTAGAGGAACAGAAGGATTTGGCGCTAATTATTCACAGATCCTTGAAGTTGGCAGAGCACGTGAATAGGATAGTTAAGAAGGCATGTGGGACACTTGCATTCATCAGTCGTGGTATAAGAGCAAGGAGGTAATGTCGGGGTTGTAAAAAGCATTGGTCAGACCACAACTGGAGTACTGTGCTCCAGTTCAGGTCATCTCAATGCAGGAAGGATGTGATTGCATTTGAGGGGGTACAGAGGAGGTTCACCAGTATGCTACCTGGGATGGAGAAATTGAGCTGTAAGGAGAGACTAGATAAACTGGGGTTGTTTTCTTTAGAGTAGAGAAGACTGAGGGGGGACATGATTGAGGTGTATAAGATCATGAGGGGTATGAAGGGGTGAATAGAGAGCAGCTGTTCCCTTGGTTAAGGGGCAGGAGATTCAGAGGGAGTTTGGGAAAAAGAATACTTTTTTACTCAGCGGGTGGTGGTAATCTGGAATGCACTGCCAGGGAAGGTAGTGGAGGATGGAAAACTTACAACCTTTAAAAAAAATTGGATGAGTACTTCAAATATTGTAACATTCAAGAATATGGAACAAGTACAGGAAATTAGGATTAGCGCACTTTTAGTGGTAGCTTTGTTGATGCAGACTCGATGGGCTGAAGGGCCCTTTCTGCGCAGTATGATTCTATGAATTTATGAATCTACCATATATCTCAGTAAACAAACTCAGGTTCAAGTCTTTTTCAGGATTTTATCCCAGCACTTCTGATCTGAGACTATCACTAACACTTTGCTGTGAGGTAAGCTAGTCTTAAATACATTCTCTCCTTCTCATTAGTATGCAGTTTCCTGTCATACCCCATGCCATGGGTTAATCAGATGCCTGAGACTTCTCGATATGGAAGACTGAGTGGAGATCAGGCAACTTCAGCTGGATGCTTGCTCCAAAGGATCTCCATGTCTATGTTCTATGTCAGATACTGGGCATTAACAACTCAAGATATGCTCCATGGTCATGGCCACATATAACCCATATCCACAAACAATGTATCTGACATGTGCCAGCCTCTAAGAACCCTCATGGTACATTTCCGATCCACTTGCAGGATACTTCTACACTTTGATGCTGAATTCCTGCAAGCACGTCAAAGCATCTGGAGGAGAGAGATCTAGGAGCAACAAGTCTTGACAAGTCAAAAGGAACATCTAAGTGAATCTGGTGGACAGGGACGATTGGACTGTCTTCTTAATGTGAAATAATGACTGTTGGAAAGAATTAGTCTTTGTTTTTCCTCCAGCTGCCTGAACTGCTGAGTATTTTCAGCATTTTCGGTTCATTTTCTGGGTTTCCAACTTCTGCAACATTTAACTGCTGTAAGAGAAATGCTTGTTTCTATTTTCTAGCTTTAATGTGTGCAGATCTATTAAAATTTATTTCAAACTGTACATTTTACAGTGACAGGACAGAAAAAATTCTGAAAAATGACAAACAAAATGTGTAGACTTAAACTACTGCAGCTGCATTTTGTAAATTTGAGTGCAGGTATTAAATCATCTCAAGTGTCTTCAAAACATTCTTCTTCATTCTTGGTTAATTATATTTGTTGCAACTTAAAATAGCAAAACATAACTGTTTCTAGTATAAACTAAAATCTGTAACTTTCAAATCCTAATGGTATTAGCACAAGTAAATGTTTACTTTATAATGCAAGGTAAACAATATTTTCATTTTTTTGTAGAATATTTACAATATTGTAAAATTATTGAACAATAAAGCTGGCAGTTTACATTTCTTTATAGTCTCTTACTACTGGCTACATTTTCCACAAAGTTACATGGGAGAGCAAGATTATGTCACTTTACATAACTTCTTGTCACGACCTAAACAGTATCTCATTTAAACAGTTCATATTAATTCATTATTTTATAGTGATGGTGCATGTTATGACATGTGGAACATATATAGGATTGAGTTAACACAGCCCATTTATGTGGGTTTGGAACTTTAATCATTGCGCATGTTAAATGCAAAAATTGCTCGATTTCTGAATACTGACATCAAGGGATATGGGGGTAGCATGGGGAAGTGGCATTGAGGTGGATAATCAGCCGTGATCCAATGAAGGGTGGAATAATCAGCTGAATGGTCTACACCCCTCCGAGGATCTCATTGTCTTCTATGTTCTGGTAGACATAATAAGGCAAGATTTACATGGTTTTGGAAAGGCAATGACTGATTAGGGATAGTCAACATGGCTTTGTGTGTGGGAAATCATGTCTCAATAACTTGATTGAGTTTTTTGAAGCGGTGACAAAGAAGATTGATGAAGGCAGAGTGGTTAATGTTGTTTATATGGACTTCCGCAAGGCGTTTGACAAGATTCCGCATAGGAGACTGGTTAGCAAGGTTAGATCACATGGGATCCAGAGGGAACTAGAAAAATGGATACAAACTGGGCTTGAAAGTAGGAGACAGAGCGTGGTGATAGAAGGATGTTGTTCAGA